AGCTGCTGCATTTTGGACCAACTGTAGTCGGGACAATAAGGCTCGAGAAATGCCAGTATACGGTGCGTTACAATAATCTAGTCTAGTGCTAATAAAGGCATGAATTGCCTTTTCAAAATCACTAAAAGAAAGAAAGTGTTTAACCTTAGCCAAAAGTCTCAATTGAAAAAAACTGGCTTTAACTACAGACTTTATCTGTTCGTCCAGCTTAAGAGCACCATCAAATACCACCCCAAGATTTCTCACGAGGCCTCAGGTAGGAGGCCAAAAAACTAGGAATATCAGAACCAGTGACACCAGCGTTACCAATTACAACACATTGTCTTACTTTCATTAATATGTAAGAAGTTATGTGATAACCATGCCTTAATGTCCCTCAGGCAATCCATCAAGGTCTGAAATGAGTTGCTCTTTTTGACATTCAATGGCAAATAAAAGTGCCCATCACTGCGGTGATGGGCACTGGTCAAATTGTTAAATTCTATAGGTGTGTGGTGGAGAGCATCCTCACTTCGTATTACTGTGTGGTACAGTAACTGCTGTGCTGCAAACAAATGGGCATTGACGTGGGTGGTTTAACCTGCCCTGAGGATTGTCGGCTGCAAACTACTAACCATCAATGACATTTACAACAGCAGATGTAGGAAAAAGGCTGACTGACTGACAGACTGTCAGCCCCCCTCCCTTCTGACAGGAGCTTCATAGCTTCAGGGCCACAACCACCAGGTTTAGAAACAGCTTCTTTCTGGATGCATCACACTGAATAACTGTTGCTACTGATTTTTTTTATATAAATACCACTGGTGGTATTTACTTCTCCTCCATCTCAGGATACAGCTGCAATTGAGATCAACAATTTCTACAGTTTCACATAATGTCTGCTATGTTATGACATGCTACAATTTTGGCCCACTTTGTCACCTTCTCTTACAGTATTCCTGTTCCTACCCCCTGCTTACATTATATTTATACATGTGTATATAATCTATTTTAACTGGACCTTGAGGGCCTTTTTCTCTTCATGTATAGTGCATAATGTATACGTTTAGAATGACAGTAAACAGCCTTAATATTACATCACACAACCTTAGTGGACATGCAGACGTGCATAGCATGACCAGCTTCTAAGATAAAAAAACATTCATTTTATTTATCGATTCAAAACTGTGGGGTTCTCAAAAATAATTATGAAAAGGTAATGCACAATGTGGAAGATGAGTTGCGCAGGTCTCAGTACCATGAACTGTCATGTAAATCAGATACTTTATTTCCGACTCGCTGACAACTCCATAGCCGGTAAATAAACAGAAAACAGAATACTAAAAACATTTCAGTATGGGGACGATAGAAGAATACTCCATAAAACATCCTTATTGTATAATATGGGATAATAAACTTAAGATAAAAACATTTTATTGGCATGTCCTTTGTCATTTTTTAATTTGAAAGATAGCCAAGAAGTGGTACATGGTGTTTAGTCTATTCTCTGTTAGACTTAAATTCATTTTGAAAATACTCTTCTTGGCTAGTTTTCCATATCATTTAGTTTGTCTTGTCTCATGCCAGTGCATATTAGTAAAAAATAATGGTGAAGGTGTGTGGATTCTTGACATTAATAAACATCCTCCAGCCGGCATCTGGTATTTTTTTGTAGTCAAACCAATTTACAGCACATTTTTCACACTTCTCCAGAGGTTTCATGTTATTTCTTAATTCAGCAAGATGAATGAATGATGAAACCAAAGAAATGATTGAATGTGTTAGCCAGCACTGTATCTTTAATTCACCTTTTACCTATTTATCTATTGTTAAAATCTTAAATAATGTAGCTGGTTTAACAGTTTTTACAAAGACATACACAAAGATAAAAGTACTTACGTCCTCCTGGGCCGCAACCTTTGGTCACTATATGGAATCAATGCCGCAAGTTGATTTTCCTGTCCTGAAACACAGGGATCAATCTACTATGAGTCACTGTCAGTCCACAGTGCAACTAAAATCTATTTTTGTATTATCTAGGCTAGTTTATTTTCATAGGATTCTCACTAAATATAAATTATGTGGTCTAGGATGTGGAAGACAGCCGACTTCCCATTTCAACTACCAACACCCTGACTGTGTACACAGTGGTGTCACCTCTGGGGTTCCTCCCAGTGCCCTGACACGTGGGATATGTCACACTGTCCCGTCCCATGAACTCCACATAAGGAAATTGGGCTACATCTCTGCCTTTGCCATGCTCAGTCTTGGCGTCCTCCACAGGAGAAGTCAGGCTTTCCTGACCCTCATGGTGGCCTGTGTGCTTGTAAGGTGGGAAAATGACTTCCCCATAGTCACATCTGAAAAACACAAGGCCAACACATCACTGTCTGTGATTCACAGGTCGGTATAACAACACTGTTCACACCCAGGTTCATTAACTGGCTGTGCCTGGGACCAACGGAAAGCAGTAAAAGATAAGAGGTTACTAACCTGAGCAAGATAACAACAGGTACATGGTATGTACTGTATAGACATGAGGTTCCATGAGCAATTGCTACTGTAGCTAAACAGCTGCTTTCTCATCTGCCTGACTAGGATTATTTTCAAAGCATGAAAAGGTGAAAATGATCTGGAACTCCTGCTGGCGGCTGCTGTCAACACAGGGCTGAATAATCGTCATCCAGTGACTCTTTTTTCAGTTATATATCCAGAGGTGTTTAGTCTGTGGTTGCTACTGATTTGGTCACTTTATTCACAAGTGAGGCTTTTTACCCATTACAGCTGCCATTCCCTTTTGATACTATGGACAGTGTTTAAAAACTCGTGGTAAATCCTTTCCAGCCAGCATCAGTCTGACACGGGACGGGAGCAGCGCGCATTGTAGTTTTTGGCACAATATGATATGGCGGAAGGCAGTGATAGCGCTCGGGAGATTTTTCAGCCATCTAAGAGGACCAAATCGGAGGTCTGGTCGTATTTTGGCTTTTACAAGAGTCATGAGGGCAATTTAATCGAGGGCGGTCACACTGTCTGCAAATCATGCAAGAAGAAAGTCGCTGCAAAAGGGGGAAACACGTCAAATTTGCTGAGCCATCTTTGTGATCACCACTCTCTGTTATATAGTGAATGCAAGGTAAGTTAACGTTTACCTCAATACCAAAACTAACTTGGGCAAATATTTGGACAAAAAATATTGATTAGAGAAATATTTCATTATCTCACTTGTAATTAACGCAAAGCTTCCGCGAAGAAAAAGTCTGCAACAAGTGGCTTTGAGTCAAGACGAACGAACATGTCCCATCTATTAAGGTTGACATTTATATAACAATGTATTGTATATTCGTAGTAAACCTATTACACAGATTATTTTTTATCTGTAATATATAATTACCGGTACATGAAATATTGAATTGAGATTAATCCTAATTTACCTGTTTATAAATCCATTATGTACAGTGTACAAAGCAATCGTCCAGACAATATGATTACTACAGCAATATTATAGTAGTATTAATACTAAATTCCTCTGATTTCATAATCAATACAATCCAAAACTGAGACGCCAGACAGCAAGTTGCATTTGAATGAACTGAAACTAGAGAACACGTCCGCGGTGATACAAGACATGAATGTGCACTGTGTTAACTTATAATGCATCACTATTGACAACAGTCATTATAAAGAAGGAAATGCAGCAGAACAGAATCGATATTCCAGTAGTTTAGTCATCTAACCAACTTATTTTGTTCAAACACAGAGTGAGCAAGTGGAAAAAGACAAACCCAGGTAGCTGGCTTTGGTGCAAACAGTGAGGTTTATTTACAGTGCTGTACAAGGAAATAAATATAGGAGGGATGTTGAGAGAGATGACCAGGTGTCAATCAGCGGCAGAAGAAACACAGTCAATGGTATGGTGGATGATAATGGGCTGGGCTGCGGATGTTGGGTTCACTCCTGGGCTGGTCGAGGTGGAGGCGATGATGACTGAGAAAATAGGAGTATGGAAAAACAAACAGGTTAAAGGAGACTGTGCATCGACCTGTGAGGCGATGGCTGGTTGAACACACCATCCCCATTGTCAAACATGGTGGTGGCAGCATCATGGTTTGGGCCTGCTTTTCTTCAGCAGGGGCAGGGAAGATGGTTAAAATTGATGGGAAGATGGATGGAGCCAAATACAGGACCATTTTGGAAGGAAACCTGATGGAGTCTGCAACAGACCTGAGACTGGGACGGAGATTTGTCTTCCAACAAGACAATGATCCAAAACATAAAGCAAAATCTACAATGGAATGGTTCACAAATAAACATATCCAGGTGTTAGAATGGCCAAGTCAAAGTCCAGACCTGAATCCAATTGAGAATCTGTGGAAAGAACTGAAAACTGCTGTTCACAAACGCTCTCTATCCAACCTCACTGAGCTCGAGCTGTTTTGCAAGGAGGAATGGGCAAAAATTTCCGTCTCTCGATGTGCAAAACTGATAGAGACATACCCCAAGTGACTTACAGCTGTAATCGCAGCAAAAGGTGGCGCTACAAAGTATTAACTTAAGGGGGCTGAATAATTTTGCACGCCCAATTTTTCAGTTTTTTATTTGTTAAAAAAGTTTGACATATCCAATAAATTTCGTTCCACTTCATGATTGTGTCCCACTTGTTGTTGATTCTTCACAAAAAATTACAGTTTTATATCTTTATGTTTGAAGCCTGAAATGTGGCAAAAGGTCGCAAAGTTCAAGGGGGCCGAATACTTTCGCAAGGCACTGTATGTAATTGGCATTGTCTTGCTGGATGACTTTATGCTGTGTTTTGCAGAAAAAGTTACCACACAACACTCACTGTCTCACCCCACCAGTGAACTACATCGGTGCAGTTCCCACATTCAAATGAATGAGAAGGGCTGTGTTTTTCATGCAGATATAAAGTCTGTGTGAACATGACCTGCCTCTGAAGCTCACTCTGACTCTTATGCTGAGCTGTGCACTAGATAAGATTGTGAAATTTCCAACAGTCCAGCAAACCAGGGAACCAGGGAGATCAATTACCTGTGTGTGTTGTGTTCTCACACTCAGCACAGCACTCTACCATTTCCTGGCATCCTCAGTGAGCCTGAGCAGTTCCTTGCTAAAGCCATGTACCCGACAGAAGTCATACACTCACATGATTGCTTTTGTCAGTCAGTACAATCATTTCAACTCATTACATGCCATGTATCCTGGCAAGCTAGAGGTGTGCTAAAGGAAAAGCACACTGTAGTGGCCGAATGACCAAGCAAGTTCTAAGGCCACTTATTCTGTGAGGATCTTACTTTGACGTGTGTCCACAAAACCATATTCCACTTTCCTTTTGGTATTTCCACAAAGTTACCCACAAATCCAGCCGCAGCAATAATATTTGAATGCAGGTTTATTTTCCATACAAGTCCACAGGTGCTTCGTATAACACTACGACACAGCCTGGTCCAGTACCAGCTTGCTGCTTCAGTAAAACAGTTGCGGTTAAATGTTATTTAAGTTCTACATGTTCCATGTTTACATTTCAAAAGTTTATATCGATCCACAATTCATTCCTTGCAGACTTCTCTGGCTCTATCTACCACATGCGCACATTGCAGCAAAACAAATAACTCCTGGAGTGAAGTAACAACATTCATCCAGACTTCAGTACAAAACAAAATGATAACAAAATAAGTACAAACATAGCCTTAGCATGGCCTATATCAACTATACCATTAAAAATGTACTGTACATGTACCTCTGCATGAATCTGGGCAACATATTATGGGGCGCTGAATGTAAAAATAACACTTACACTAGTTTTCTCACATTTAGCTGAATGTGACAACAAGTTTTCTCACATTTAACTAAATGTGACAAAGTCTAAATATAAATGTAAATGTTAAATGTAAATGTAACCCTCACCCTGCCTTCTCGTCTTCAGGACTGTTATCCATATGATAAGCATATCGTCATGATATTGACTTGTACAGCACCATTAAAATATTGTTTTGCTGAATTCAGCCACCTGAGTCCGTATTCTCTCTCACACCACCTTGTGTGGTGTGTGGTCATAACAGAATGAAATGGCCACCATGGACTCTGCTGAATCCAATGTCAACAGCTCTCCAGCACTCACTCACATCACCATACAGCTGGAGAGAATGAACCATGCACTGCAACAGCAATTGGAGACCACCGCCAGTCTCGCTCAGCAAATAGCGAGACTGATGACCCTCATCAAACGGTATTTTTTTGCACCACCTCCGATCGACACATCAGTTTCCAGCCCATCTGCTCGGGTGCTCAGTCCCAGCCGGGACCCACTGATACCAGAACCAGACTCCGGCAGGGCTGCCCTTTGTCACCGGTTCTGTTCATTATTTTTATGGACAGAATTTCTAGGCGCAGCCAGGGGCCGGAGGGAGTCCGGTTTGGGGACCGCAGGATCTCGTCTCTGCTTTTTGCAGATGACGTTGTCCTGGATGGATGGAGATCTTCAAAGGTGATGTTACAAAATGCCGGGGGGTTTTGATGCAGTGCCAGAGAGTCTTCAACCAGCAGCCTCGTACTCTCTGCTCTGACCGAGTGAAAATAAACTACGTCATTAACCGCTTACGCAGTAAAGCATTTACCTGGGCCGAAGCAGCGGAAGCCCAGGGACAGTTACAAGGGGCCACCATTGAGACCTTCTTCCAGGATCTACGCGCTGTCTTCACTCCTCCAAATCATCAGAGCCAAGCAGCCATGGAGCCCATGACAATCCATCAGGGGGCACGCAGGGCAGCTCACTACGCCGTTGACTTCCGGGTTCTTGCTACGGAGGCCAGCTGGAATGACCTCGCCCTGCGCACAGCATTTTGTCATGGACTCAACGATAACATCCAGGCTGAGCTCAACACCAGAGAAGAGCCCCTGACCTTCATTCACTGGCTGACTTGGCTGTCAAAATCGACAACCAACTGCACACCGGCAAGAAGGAAGGTGTGGTACAGCAGCTGGCCACCCGGGGCCGCCCCATTCTCCCCCCTCCTACAGGGAGCCCCGGATCTCCACCGTCGGGGGCTACCTGTGGATATGCAATGAGCAGTGGGGAGGAACCAATGCAACTCAGACAAACCCCTCTAGGTCCCAAGGAAAGAGCCCGCAGGATCCGCACCGGGTCTTGCTTGTACTTTGGTGCCCCCGACCACTATATCATCGTCTGCCCGGTGCGACCAAAAGGCCAGGCCTGTTAGTAACAGTGGGGATATTGATGGGCCATCCCTCCACCTCCATCGAACCCAAGAACAGCTGCCTTCTCCCGGTACTCCTCGAGACCACTTTTTGGACCATCGCTCACCAGGCCCTCAGTGATTCCGGGGCAAAGGGAGACTTAATGGACCCCGCTGTAGTGGAACAGCTGGGTCTCACTCCTGAACCTTTGCCCTGCAACCTCAAGACCCGGGCTATTGACAGCTGCTGGCCACGATCACACACCAGACACCCCCCATCCATCTCACCATTGCCGGCAACCATCAGGAAATCATCCAATTCAAGATACACTCTACACCAAACACGCCTCTTGTCTTAGGTCACTCCTGGCTGGTCTGACTTAATCCTGTCCTGGACTGGACCTCGGGTACCATCACCCAGTGGAGCCCGACATGTGCTACCACCTGCCTCCTGGCTGGTCTATCTTCTACTCCTCCTTCTGCCTCTCCGCCACCCGACCTGTCTTCTGTCCCCTCTGATTACCATGATTTATGCCCGGTTTTCAGTAAGCACCTTGCCACTGACACCCTTCCTCCACACAGACCCTATGACTGTGCTATCACCCTATGTCCTGGAGCCACCTTGCCCAACAGTCGACTCTTCCACTTATCGAAACCCGAATGACAGGATCTGGAGGAGTACATAGACACAGCCCGACATGTAGGTATGATCCGTCCTTCTGCCTCACCTCTGGGCGCAGGGTTCTTTTTCATGGGGAAGAAGGACAGCGGCCTCTGTCCCTGTATTGATTACCGTGGTCTAAATGCTATAACAGTTAAAAACAAATATCCCTTACCCCTTCTGTCTTCTGCTTTTGAGTCTCTTCAGGGCGTGGCAGTTTTCACCAAGTTGGACTTCGCCTTACAGCTCAGCTCCTTCTTCACCAATAGACTTAAGAGGGTTGGTGCAGTGCCTCCCTTGTCTCCAAGATGGGGCTGGAAAGTGGATAGCTGCATTTGAGGAGGAAACTATTGCCACAATTTTGGCAGTGGGAGATATCAAGGCTCTAGTGGGAAAGATCCTGGGCAAACAGAAAATGGAGGAGGCCGTGAGAGGAGCTCAATTGGATGTGTTTGTAGGAACACAAGCCCATGATGGTGACATTTTTAACCGGCATCGCAACACATTGTGGACAGCTTTGAGCCTGCTGTTTCCAACTAGAGTACAACCTGACAGCATTGTGGAAACTCAAATTAAGGATGATGAGAGCCTGCAGGCTTATGTGCACCTCACTTGAAAGGAGTGGATAAGACAGACCGGTGCAATGCCTGAAGAGGATATTTTTCACTGACAGGCTCTCAGAAAGAGAATTGTCAGCAGATTGCCACAAGTGGCTCAGAGTAAGATGGGTGATGCTGTGGGACTGTATAACATGCCATTTGAACAGTTTACTGACTATGTGGTGGATGCTGTGACAAAAGCACAAGCAGATGAGGAAGCGGTGAGAAAACTGACTCACCAGCAGCTGGCAGAAGGAAAGAAAAAGGTGCAAACTGTTGCAGCTCTGGCCACCCCTCAGATAATTTATCTGCAACCAGAGGGGTGGAATGGATACCCTCAGCGAACAAGAGGATTTCCTGCGGGCAGAGGAAGAGGAAGTGTGGTAAGTTGGCTCTCAGCGGCCAGGCATGTAGGAGACAGACTCGAACAAGATCTCAGGTTTTCTCAAATCAGTCCTTTATTTTGAACAAGTGCCAGCAAAGCACACATGCCAAACAAAATCATTAACAAACTAAATGGCTTAACTTCACATAACTGAAGAAAACTAAACTCAACTCAAAATAACACAACGCAACTTACAGGTACGTGCACACCACTACACTTAGACTGCCATGCTACCAGCTGCTCCATCTTAGCTGATTAAGTAGCTCCTGGTACCAATCAACCCTATGACATCCTTAATGACATCAGAGAGCATACAAAATGAGGAAGTGATGAACCTAGACTATGAGAAACCATTTTTGTTGTACGTGTCATGTCGACAGAACCACGCCTGTGGGGTGCTGACCCAAAAGACAGGAGTGGGTTCACATGCGCAGCCTATAGCATATTATTCTGTGGCTTTAACTCCAGTTGAGCTGGGGCTGCCACCTTGTTACCATCACTTGGCTGCAGCACATTTGATGTATGAGAAAGCATCAGCCCTGACAATAGGCTATCCTGTGGAGAATTTATCTAATCACAAACAGGTCAATTTGATTGAGAGAGGCAAGTTTGTGTTAACTACACAACGTCTTAGTGACTATCACAGACTTCTTGAGTACCCAGATGTGACATTGCATGTGTGCAAAGTGAAGAATCCAGCGGATTCTATTCCACTGCCCTTTGAGGGAGAGCCACATGATTGTGTGGCTGAGGCAGAAAGATATGCCAAATTACGATCTGACTTGAATGCTGTGCCTCTAGAGGCACAGCATTCATAGATGTGATATTGTTCATGGACAGATCATGCTTTAGAGAGGGTGAGGCTCTCAAAGCAGGATTTTCAGTGGTAGAAGTGAGAGATGGCAAGATGCAGGTGGTGTGCAGTCAACAGTGTGCACAGCCCTGCTCTGCTGGCATAGCTGAAAGCTCTGACTTATGCATGTGAGCTTGCTAAAGGCAAGCGTGCTAATGTGTATACAGATTCAGCTTTTGCTCACAGTGTTTGTAATCTGTTTGGTTCAGCATGGAAAGGAAAGGGCCTCAGGAAAGCTGATGGTTCGCCTGTGTTGCACGGGGACCAAATCAAGAAGCTGCTAACTGCAATGATAAAGCCAAAAACTCTGCCTATCATCAAGTGTGCAGTTCATCAAAAGGATGATTCTGTGGTCAAACAAGGAAATGCAGCTGCTGACCAAGCAGCGAAGAGTGCAGCCTCTGCAGGTGGAAAAGCAATCATGGTCGTCCATGACATAGAGGCAGAGGAGCACATAACTCTCAAGGACTTGTCCCGGCTACAAGATGAAGTACCAGAAGCCGAATCTCAGCTATGGGTGCAGAGAGGAGCAGTCAGAGATAGTGAAGGAGTGTGGAGGAACCATGAGGGGCTACTGGTGGCCCCTAGTGGGTTGCTGTCTCTGTTAATAAATGAGGCTCATGGGTTGAGCCATGAGTCCAGAGGTGAAGTGTTGAGGAGACTTAGAGAATGGAAATTTTGGGCTCCAAAGCTGCAACAACATGTGGATGGAGTCTTAAGTCATTGTGAGACATGTCTGAAGTGCAATATTCGACAGGGTGTGGTTCCCTCTGTGGGACACTTGCCGGTCCCAGACGGCCCATTCATGCACTTGACCATGGACTTTGTGGACATGGTCAGGCCAGTGCAGGGCAAAAGATACATATTTGTGGTTATAGATCAATTCAGCAGGTGGCTGGAGGCCACGCCTGCCAAACACAAAAATGCAGAGACAGTGGCTAAGTTCCTGTGTAAAGAAGTTTGTCCAAGGTTTGGCCTGCCCATTAAAATCAGTTCAGATAATGGGAAGGAGTTTGTTGACAAAACACTGAAGTGTGTTTTACAAAAGCTAGGAATCAAGCAATGTTATGGTAGTGTGTATTGTCCAACCTCACAGTCTGATGTTGAAAGATGTAATGGGATCCTGAAAAATAAACTGCTTAAGATTTGCATGAGCACTGGGTTAAACTGGGTAGATGCTTTGCCACTAGCACTCATGGCATGCAGAGCGAGCGCTCACAGAACGCTGGGGCTAACGCCGCATGA